CCCCTCAAGTCCACACTGACTGAAGAGTGAGAAGGGTAAACAAGACACCCACACAAGTGTAGACAAGGATGAGGGAGTTCCACAACCCATACTTGGGTACAATGCACCACAAACATAAGGATGAATTGAGACCTATCTGCCTAACACCTGTAAACGTTCTTGGATCTGACATAGGAAACTCTCAAAATCTGTCTAACCTTGATCCAGAAATACATGGTTCCAAGAAGTATCAGGCTTGTCCCAATCCAGTCAAGAATCCTTATTGAGGAGTGAGGAGCAGAAATCTTAGTCACACTTTTTACCTGATTGAAACCACAGGTATGAGGATACCAGCAATTGAAGTTCTTCCACCAAGATATTGACAGGTAGCATCAGGAACTTTTTGCTTCAGAGAGACCATCCAAATGTCTCACCCCAAATCCAGGCTCCCAGATACAGAAAAGAATGCTGAACTGGACTGAAAGTCAATAGAAATGGGGGCCACATGGGGAGTGTATTCTTTTAGCACCCTACTGACCCCAAAAGGGGGGACATTTCCTGACAGATGAGCAAGGAACAATGCCCCACAGGGAGTAGGCTTTTGACCTCGCCCAAAGTTGAACCACAGCTACTAACACTGACCACCTGAGACACCTGAACCATGCAAAATTTGCAGGAACTAGGTCCCTCCAAAGTGTTTGTGCTGCCAGAGTCCAGAAAGCACACCAGAAACAGTTTGCTTTAAGAATGTATTTCTCTTATTGAAGCGTTCTTATCAACAGGGCAGGTGGGGGTTAAAATATATACGATTCAGCTGTTGAGCCCTGTAGATGAAAAGCTTTTTTTTTTTTAATTTTAGCTTAGCCTTACAAATAAGTAAAAAAGTATGTAAAAAAAAGGGAGTGCAGTGCTCCACCTTGCCTGGAAATGTAAAGGTTAAGTGGAACTCCAGGCAAACTACCAAATACAGGGGTGAAATACCGTACATATATGTTAATGGTTTTACCTGCCACAGGATTTTTCATTTTTGTCAGTCTCTCTTTTGATACACACTGCTCATCTCACAGGTCACTGTGTTATTTCCAGTTTAACATTTCTGCGCCAGCTCCCTGCTTACTGAAAGAGGGTGAAGATGCCGATCCACTGACCAGTGAGAAGGCTAAGGAATTAAATGTTTCATCTGTCTGACTGTGCAGCTTAGGAAAGATATGTAAATCATAGGATTGACTGTACAGAACTACAAAGCTTATGGGAAGTAAAAACAACAAACGTATTTCAACTGTGCATTTAGCTGCTTGCCTGGAGTTTAGCTTTAAATAGTCACCTAAAATATTTATTATCTGACTAAATCCAAATTAATATTTTTTAAAATGTTATTTTTAGTACCAAACATTATAAAGACAATATTTTTTGTGGGAAATTAGCTATACTAAGCCGAACTGCACTAAACTAGCAATATGTGTTGAAGATCTTTGGTAACATAATATCAATCAGCGGCTCTGTTTGTCCATTCTTAATGGCTTATATGAGATTTATACAAGACTTTACATGTAATGAGACACCTTGGATGAACGCTGCTTTGGGCAGATTTATACCTGCAAATACCAAGTGATTGAAACTCCAGAAATTGGCTGAAACAAGTTAAAGGATAACTACACCTTTGGAACATGTCACATGTTCCCCCCATTTTTAGGGTGGAACATGTAACATGTTCCCATAGCTGCACCTCCTCCCTATGACAGATAGTATGGGGAGAAGTCTCCCCCCGTCCTAGCTGTCAAATGTGAAAACAGCGCGGCCGTGCAGGCCTCTGCCCACAGGCCGTGTCTTTCTTTCTCAGACTTCCGTGAATGAATGAACTGCAAGTCCTGACACCCTTAGCGGCTGTAGGCTTGTACTTTACAATGAAGTTTACAGCGCCGTGGTAGTTCATTGAAGCTTCCTGTCAGAATATCTGCTTGTTCGTACATTGCATACGGCAAGCAGATATTCTGACAGGTCTGCAGGAGACCTGCATGGCATCAGCGATCTAATGCAGGACATGGAGAAGGAGATACAAGGGAAGGGATACAGATACAGGTGTATCTCAGTTTACGAACGCCTCGGTTAACGTAATTTTCGGTTTGTGAATGAAAATCCATTGAAAATAATGCTTCGGTTTAATAATTTTTTACGAATGTTTTGCACAATACGAAGTGCAATTTTTAAATGCAATTGCCGGCTTTTTTTTTCTTCACTATAGCTCACAGGATTAGCTGTCACTTTTCTCGGAGTTACAGGAAACTTTGTTTCTTTTAAGAAACTAAAAGGAAATATTATTTCTTTTAACTTGGGGAAATAAACTAAAAGGAAACTTTCTTTCTTTTAGCTGGGGGGGGGAAGTCACAGCTGATTCTCTGAGCTATAGTGAAGAAAAAAAAAGGGGGGGTAATTAAATTTAAAAACCGGCACTGACCTATAGTGACAGCGACTTTTTAAAAACTTTTTTCTGACCTCTGGGACGGATTAATTGGTCTTCAATGCATTCCTATGGGAACCGCATTTCGGTTTACAAATTTTTTGCAATACGAAACGTCCCGGGGAACACATTAAATTTGTAAACCGAGGTACACCTGTATAGATAGATAATCACGAGAATGGGATAGAAACTAGGAATTTGGATATGGACTTGTGTGATTGGGGGTGGGGAGGGGATAAGTTGATGCAATAGGAATTTATGTACTAGTGAAGTACTTTTTATTCTTGTGTGCATTAGATACTTTTTTTGTATTGAAAAAAATTTAATAAAAGATATAATAATAATAATTAAAAAAAAAAAAAATCAACGTTGGTTTTTGACTGCAGTGAAAATTCGAAGGAGCAGGATGGAAAACTTTCCTTGAACAAGCATTTCTAACAGTGAGTCCTCATGCAAACTAGGTGTTTTTACAGCTGCTGTTTTGGGCTTTTGATGTTTTTTTTGTTCTACAGCTAGTAAACCCCCCCGCATGTTATCCTGTGCGTCCATGTACACATAGACTGTAATCAACGTTTTTTTGGCAGGGGCATTTTTTGACTGGAAAAAAAACCCAGGACTAGTGGGTTTCTAGAAGAGTTTTTTTCACTATAGCTCACAGGATTAGCTGTCACTTTTCTCGGAGTTACAGGAAACTTTGTTTCTTTTAAGAAACTAAAAGGAAATATTTTTTTCTTTTAACTTGGGGAAATAAACTAAAAGGTACTTTCTTTCTTTTAGCTGGGGGGGAAGTCACAGCTGATTCTCTGAGCTATAGTGAAGAAAATAAAAAGCGGGTAATTAAATTTAAAAACCGGCACTGACCTATAGTGACAGCGACTTTTTAAAAACTTTTTTCTGACCTCTGGGACGGATTAATTGGTCTTCAATGCATTCCTATGGGAACCGCATTTCGGTTTACAAATTTGTTCGCAATACGAAACGTCCCGGGGAACACATTAAATTTGTAAACCGAGGTACACCTGTATAGATAGATAATCACAAGAATGGGATAGAAACTAGGAATTTGGATATGGACCTGTGTGATTGGGGGTGGGGAGGGGATAAGGTGAAGCAATAGGAATTTATGTATGAAGTACTTTTTATTCTTGTGTGCATTAGATCCTCTTTTTGTATTGAAAATAATTTAATAAAAGATATAATAATAATAATTTTAAAAAATCAACGTTGGTTTTTGACTGCAGTGAAAATTCGAAGGAGCAGGATGGAAAACTTTCCTTGAACAAGCATTTCTAACAGTGAGTCCTCATGTAAACTAGGTGTTTTTACAGCTGCTGTTTTTGGCTTTTGACGTTTTTTGTTCTACAGCTAGTAAACCCCCAGCATGTTATCCTGTGTGTCCATGTACACATAGACTGTAATCAACGTTTTTTTGGCAGAGGCATTTTTTGACTGGAAAAAAAAAACCCAGGACTAGTGGGTTTCTAAAGGAGTTTTTTAGCTGTAAAAACGTTCTAACAGTGAAAAATGCGGTTAAAACGCGGCAAACCAGCGTTTTTGGACTTTTGTTGACCAAACAAAAAAACTCTAAAACACTCAAACGCGAAAAAAACGTCGAAAAAACACTAAAAAAAGTTGAAAACTCACATTTTTAACGTGACTTTACGCAACCAATGTTATTAAAATGCCCCGTGTGCATGGAGCCTAAATGTGTTTTTTGTTAATTCGTTCCAAAATCAAATGTTAAAAGCAAACTTTTTTTGATGAGTATTTTCATATGAAAGTTCCTATGAACATTTGTTAAAAAATCTACTAGCATATGGCCATCCTAAGTTACTTTGTAAGCAGTAAGATGTGCTACAGCATATTCCTCCTTCCCTGCATAGATATCTAGCAGCATTTATTAGCTTGTATCCCTTCAAGTAGGACACATCATTCCCACCCAAAGCACCAAACTCTGTCCCTAATCTGGCCCTATTTGAAGAGATCACTCCCACTTTTGACATGCCTCACCCTTTTAGGACCCAAACAACTGAGCCAATCCCCATAAAGCTGGGACTCCTGCGTGCTATGAAAGCACAGAGGGCCACTTATCTTGAAACACATGGGTGTGACTCACCTTGCCTTTCAATTCACTGATTACCCAGTAGCTGCTACACAATGATGCCAGTGACAAAATCTCTGGTTAGTCACTCTAGTCACTGTTCATTAGCTATTGTGCTAGAAAATCTATAGATCCCCCATATTGTGCTCTGTCTGACACATCCCTACTATAAATAGGCCAGTAACATGTTACTTTCAGTGGGGGTAAAAGGCTGTTCCTGAGGCAATCAGAGACTTGACTTATTACCAGACTATATTTACCACAAGCTGTTTCTTTCCTCTCTTCTCACACCAGGTTATTAGCTCTCCTTATTTCTCACACATGCTGTTACCTGATTTCCCACCTGTCCAGGAGCCTGTCCTGTGCGCAAACCAAGCTAGCCCCAACCCTACATGCTCCTGTCTCAGAATTTTACCAATGTTACCAAACCCAGGATTCACTATAACCGGTCTCCTTCAGTACACACAACATGGAAATGCAATTATTTTAGTAGATGTAAACTGCTAAATACCTTTTCTCATCAGCAGTTAGAGCAGTCTTGTGACTTCTATCAGTGTCCAGCTGAGCACTGGTTAAAGCTTGCAGGAGGCGTTTTCTTTCTGTTCTAGGAGGATGTAGAACCTCTGAGCACTGTCTGGACAGTGCTGATTGGCCCTGTGCTGATCACATGCACTCTCCCAAGAAAAAAAAAAACTTTTCTAGCAATACATACTAAACAGAGCATGTGCAGAACGCCTACAGTTCAGTCTGTCTTATCAGGAGATAAGACGTGGACATTTGAACAAGAGGAGGAGCAGAGAAGACAGGATTAAGTGGCTTTTTTGCACAATGTAGAAGATTAAGCCCTTAGGTTCCACGGAGAGTATTACAAGCATGCTTTACTGCATATACAGACTGATTTTGCTGTTGTGGGTTTAGTAACACTTTAACTATTTTAGCAACTAAAGCTCTCCACCATGGTTTTCTGATGCTCACTGAATCAACTCTATGTTTTAAATTAAAGTGGTAATTATAAAATTTAAGTTATTGCAACTTGCTAATCTTTAAAGTGGAACTAAACCCTCCTATCCTTGTCAGCCAAGGAAGCTGCCATCTTAGCCTCTCTTTGATCTGCAACTGCCATGGTGCTGCACTTGTGATCAGTTTTGACACCAGCCATTTGATAGTTTGACAGTTTGGTAAACATCACAGTTAGCATTCTCGGCATGCCTGGAATGTAATTGTTTTTTAAAACTGTTAAATCAATGGATTTAGCTCCGCTTTAACCACTTGCTGACTGCCCACAATACTTTTAGTGTGGGTGGCATGTACAGGCAAAGCAACGTACCCATACATCATTTATCCTGTACAGACACAGGGGGGGGCATTGTGCACTCGCTCTGGTGTGCCCCCCCCCCAGTGGATATAGCGGAATGTGGGTCCCGGTACTCGGAACCTGTTGATCATGTGGTCACTATGCAATCACATGATCACAATGTCAACAAAGCTGTTATGAATTAATGTAATTCATAACAGCTTTGCTTCCCTTGCTAGTGAGCTGTGATTGGCCCACAGCTATCACATGGTACCTGGGCCAATCACAGCATGTGATTAGCTGTAATCACAGATCACTAGTATTCTGAGCTGTCATGAACTTAACCCATTCATGACAGTTTAAAGCATTGCTGGTGCAATGATCTTCATTGCACCAGCAATCAAAGTGTAAAAAAAAAAATCCCTGATCACCCCACAGAGTAGTACAATATTACTATGGTAACACTGAACTACTTTCATGAAAGTATTTAAAAAAAAGAAAATAGCAAAAAAAATTAAAATGAATGTTAAAAAAAAATATAACAATGAATACAATTTTTTTTAAAAGTATTTTTTATAGTTTTTTTTCTTTTTTACATGCTGTCACCAGTCAGTGTCCCTGATAAGCACCACACCAGTCATATCATGATGCTGTACTGCGCTGGTGACGGTATGTAAAAAAAATACATTGTGGAAAAAAATGTATTTAATTTCTTAATTTTCAAAAAAAATTGTGACAAAAAAATTACAACTTTAAAAAACTCGCCATGCCTCTTACTAAATGTCTACCTTCCAAAAAGCAGTAATTGTACTATGCTGACATTTTAAGGGCTGTCAGTACTTAAACTGATCAATTTTCAAATATGTATCCCATAGTTTGCGAGCATTATAAGCTTCTGACAGACTAAATAATATACACTTATTGGGATTTTTCTGTTACCAAAAATATGTAGCAGAATACATTTTGGCCTCAATTTATGAAGAAATTAGATTTTTTTTATTTGATATGTTATATACCAGAAATTAAAAAATATTGTTTTTTTCTTCATTTGGGTCTTTTTTCATTTAAAAAAAAAAAACCCAGTGGTGATAATATACCACCAAAAGAAAGCTATATTTGTGTGAAAAAATATAAATACAGCGTTGCATAACCGCGCAATTGTCAGTTAAAGTAGTGCAGTGCCGCATAGCAAAAAATGGCCTGGTCATGAAAGGTGTAAAACTTTCTGGAGCTGAAGTGGTTAAAGCGGAACTAAACCCATTGAATTAACTGTTTCCCAGAACAGTTATATTCCAGGTATGCTGTTAATGATAACTGTCACATTTGCCAAATGGCTGGAGTCATAACTGATCACATGTGCAGCACCATGGCAACTGCATCAAACAGAAGCTAAGATGTCTGCTTCTTTGGCTGTAAAGGATAGGAAGGTTTAATTTCACTTTAAGTCTCCATGCACACTGGGCGTTTTGATAACGCTGCCAAAAAGCATTGATTACAGACTATGTGTGCATGAAAACATAGGAAAACATGCTGGGGGGGTTTACTGGCTGTAGAAAAAAACATCAAAAGCCAAAAACAGCTGCTGTAAAAATGTCCAGTGTGCATGAGGAAGAAATGTAATGGCTGTTTTTGTATGCTTTATTCCTTTATTTTCAGCTGGTGATCTGGCCACTAACACACATCCGGTCTTAGAGTGTCTCCATTTTCTGGCGAAGCAATGGAGACACCCTTGGAAAGCAGCAGTCAATCTGGGTACAGGGTAGTGTTAGATGATTTGTACATTTAGATGGACTTGACTTACTTAAACTCGAACTCCTGCTAACACTTTCTAAGCAACTATATCAATAGTTTCTTTTCTCCGTTCGGGATAAAGGTTTTATATAACTGAATAAAAGCAGACCATTGAAAAGCTGATTGCTGGATTAGGATTCCTGGCCAGCAGTATCTGCATCAGCAATCAAAATATTTTAACTGCTGATGCAGATACCGCTGGCCAGCAATCCTAATCCATCAGCTTTCCTGCATAGATTCAAACAGGAAAGCCTTTACTTTAAGTCAAGGAAAAATTCTCATTTTTAACTGGAGCCCTGATGAAGTGCAAGTTATTTTGACCCCCGAAACGCATTGACTATATTAACACAATATCAATAAATTAATTTGGACTCTTTTGGTCTGGAGCTCCTGCCACATGTGCATGTTTTTTTCTGATAACCCGCTGGAGCGTAGCCTTGTTTGTTGCGAGCAGCCTAACCTGAGCCAGTGGGCACTTCAAACTGTTTTGTCCTCCCTTGTTTAAACTTATATAAACGTCCCAGCGCCTCTTGGATGCCCTATCATTGTAAACACCCTGCCAGTATTAAATATCTTGACTCAACCCTGGAGAGGTGAGCGGATAAAGTTGTGATCTATACCGCTTATCAAGGGAAGCCTTGTATTCATTCATAAAAACACATAAATAAAGTGCAGCGCTAAAATAAAACGTAAAAAAAAACAAATGCATAAAAATATGTCACAATAAGTAAATATTGTTTAAAAAAGTGCCAACAAAGGTGACTTGCAGTATAAATGCACACTAACCAGATGTGCACATTAAATGTGCAGTGTAGTAATCATTAGGCTCGTGGAGTGATCATCGGAATGGAAAAGATAAAGATGTTCCCCTGATCAAAAAAAGTTCCTCAGATGGTGCAGAGCTGAGCAGGAGAAATTCCACTTGGTGATAGGAAGGAACGGGCGTTGCTCCACCAAAAGAGCACAACTCCTCCACTGGGCAAAACGATGTCTGGGAAAGAAATGCGTCCTATCAGATGTAGTGGCCGCCGGAGCTTGATTTGTTCTTTCTCTGAGGATGTGCTTGGCACGTAACACGTAAGGAGGAGCCTACATACGCCGTGACGTCATGCCGTCGGAGCATCGTGGAGCTCCGGCGGCCACTACATCTGATAGGACGCATTTTTTTTTTTTTAGCGCTGCACTTTATTTATACGTTTATGTGAGGATTCTTTGGTTATCCTATGTGCCTAGCTGCTTTAACTCTAAAAGCCCTCACTTATTTCTTTACTTATAAAAACACATGGCTTCCTGTGAATGGATGAGCACCTCTCAATCTGGCTCAACCTTGTTCCGGGACCGAGACGGAAAGTCCCCATCCCACTGCCCAAAAACAGTGTTGTATAACATATGTAGCTGATGCATTTCTACAATGCTGACAGCTGCTGAACCAACTTGGGCCTAACAAACTATTCAAAGTCATATTATTTCCTTCTTCAATCTCTCCACCAAGTTTTGGCCTGCTTGGATCTTAGAAAATTCCCCACTGAGGTTAGCTGGGCTGACACTTAAACCTAAATAGGAAGGAAGAGCAGTATAAGAAGTTCACCGGAAGAATTTCAGGACAGAAAATTTGGCAGGTCTATTTCCATAGAAGCACCCAAACTGTAACCCACAGCTTACTTCTGGATTGCTCCAATCCAGCTGATAGTGTCTGAAACCCAGCCCATGGACTTCAAAGCAACAGTTTTACCCAAATCTAAATGTAACATCTGCCTTGTATGAGGGAGGTTACATGTTACAGACACTTCTGAACCTCAAAAGGGAGAGGCAAGACTGCCCAACTGAAGAAGGAAAAACCACCAAGTTACATAGACAGAGAATGACATGCTACAGACATGTGGAGCTGCCATCTTGGAAGAAACAGAATCATGTTGCTTGGAATAGTGGAACAGTGAGCATATAGATTCTGGCACTATGGGCAGTAAACCATGACCTGTGCCTTTGCCTCATGGTTACAGCCTGATCTATGACCCAATTTATTTAAGCTCACCTACCTGTTACTTGATCCAAATGTTGGACAACCTAAAATTACCAAGCCTATGGCCAGGTTGTATTGAAGATATTGAATCCAAACTGCAGGGCTGAACAAAACTAAATCTGCATCTGAAAAAACACATTTAAGTCTCCGATAGGACAAAGATTTTATCGTGTAATCTTGATTCTTGGAAGTGCTTGCGAGTGCGCAGCTGAATCTACTTATCACTTCACAGGCCTTGATCATGTGATCACTGGGACTGACTTAAAACAAACAATCTTTGTAAAACGAGTTTCCTTCAATATCTAGTACTGTTCTCCATTCTGAAGAATTAGTCTTGTAAGTGAAAAAGTGATACCTGCTAATTCAGGGTTTACCACAAATAAGAAGTGGAGCTTGCTCTGTTTTTTTCATACTATATGTATTTTTTTATATATTTTTTATATGTTTTCTTAACCTCCAACAAAGTTAGTACTAGAATAAGTCCACATCTGTCCTGACAGACTGAAAATTGGAGAAAATCTTTAAATGGCAGACAGCAAATAACATGCGGACAGGAAGAATATAACAGACAGGGATATTTGTGGAGTGAATAAACGATTACTCCACCATTTAAGCCAAGCCTGGCAGTACTAGGGTCGTTGGTTCGAATCCCAGCCACGGCACCACCT